CACCCCTCCCCCTACCCCCCCATCCCCAAAAATTCTCAGAGGATTTGGGCTGTACTCAGCAAGCGCAGTACAGCTTCCAACTCAGATCTGAAAAACAATTAGTGGATGACACCAGTGGTTGATGGAAGGCAAAAAATTCGGGGTTTTTCGCCGCGTTGCTACGAGCAATGTTGTCGAAACTTTTGCGAACAAACCATGCAGGGTCATAATACAAACAACAAAAAAACAAAGAGGGAAAAAAAAAAAAAAAAAAAAAACTCAAGAGCACTATAAAACCCTATTTAGAGTAGCTTTAGGAGTTCGCCAAATCTTTCTTCGAGTCTGGTGTTTTTGCTAAGTTTTTCGTTACTGGTCCAAATGCGGCGAAATTGAATACAGACACACCCTAAAGCACATACATATCAAGCGAAAAGATACACCAAGAAAAAAGTAAAAATTCAGTAAAATATGGCAGTTTCGGTGAAAAGTTTGCCAAAATTCGTCGAAATTTGGGCCTTCCATTAACCGCTTCTCGTGGATGGTTGTTTTCTGACTGGTTGGCGGACCGGTCGGTCCTACTGGTCGCGGCTGCAATACGGTCGGCGGTCGGGGTCGGTGGTCGGCAGGGATGCAACCATGCTGCCAACTTTCTTGTGCACCACTGCCTGCCGTCCGACAGATGGAGCACCGGTCCCTTTCATGTGTCTTATTGTCAACTATGCAATTGACACGTATGTCCCACAGAGATTGTGCAGTCTAATTTTGAATGCTTATCTTTGTCTTGTGGCTCGACTCTTCATGTGCGGTCCCCACTTCCACTCATTCTTGTGCTTTTGCAGGTTCTGCACAGTGTGCAAGTGCTGCGTGACAAGCATGAGATTGCAGAGGCACATGCAGAACTTTCCAAACTGCAATTGAGCAAGATGAACACTAGCAAGGCGGACGAGGGCTCACCAACAGTTCCAACCTCGTTGGTTCCTCCTCAGAATGTCGAAGTTCCAGGGAATGCTGAGCTGACACCGTCAGTGTCAAATTATCAGCAGCAATCTATGGTATCCTCTCAGCAGCCGATCATGGCCATGGCACCGAAGCAGGACCAGATGCAACAACAGCAGCAGTTGCATCCTCCACCCCCAGTCCCTTCTACTCCTGTGCCTGCACCTCATCCTCACACCCTGCAGCTCCATGGGCACCAAGGTCCATCGCCACCGCCCATGGCACCCCCGCAGCAGCAACTGGCCCTGCCTGCACCTGCATCACACAGCGCCATGGTTCAACCGTCTCTCACATCTGCTCCACAACATGCAGTACCTCCCCCTCCCGCAAGCCATCCCAGTGCATATGGTTCCCAACCAGATGGTCAGCAACACTACCTGCCGCCCCAACAGCAGCAAAACCAGGGTCCACAGATGCCACCACCACCACCTCAACAACATCCAGCGCATTCCGCACCGCCATATCAACCCCAGGCACGGCCAGAGCTTTCCCCGCAATATGGTGTGCCGCCTCCAGCTGGTCCTTACAGTGCCCCTCTTGAACCCCTGCCTTGTAACCCTCTGCCAGCTTACAGTGCGCATAGTCAAGGGTTCAGCACTGCTCCGGACGCCATGCCTCCATATATGCCCTCTGGGTATGGGCCTTCTCAGAGGGGGCAGCAACACCATCCCTCCTATGATGGTCCAGCACCAGGTAGGTCTCAAGGTGGGAGTCCTGTTATGAGAGTGCCACTTCCTCCCCCTTCTTCCGGTCAGTATGCGCTTCCTCATGCTGCACCTGTTCCCTATGAGGCAAATGCACCGTCCTCGTACCCTGGAGGCCCACAGTTCCGAGTTGCTCAACCAGTGCCCTCAGCTCCCGTGGGTGCCACGGTTCCCTACCCGCGTTTGCAGACGGCACAGCCTGTCTCCCATCAGTCTGCAAACTCTGGATCTGCTGTATCCGGTGGTTCCTCAGGAGGTGGTGGTGAAAGAGCTTCTCTCACCACAAGTCGTGTCCCTATTGACAAGGTCATTAACGATGTAGCTCATATGGGTTTTAATAAGGAGGATGTGCGATCTGTCGTGAAGAGACTCACAGAGAATGGGCAGTCAGTGGATCTCAACGTTGTTTTAGATAAGCTCATGTCAGAAGGCATTGGCAGCAGCGCAAATGCCCCGAAGCCGGGGTGGTTTGGTCGGTGATCAGTAAATAATAGGATGTGCGGTATATACTATATAATGTTTTGTCATCAGTGACCTGACATGCATCAAGAGCTGGGATGTATCCCAGCCGTTATCCTGTAAAGTCTCACACGGTGGGAACGTGTGTTTTCATTTGAGTCGTTGGATAAATGGTAGATCGGTAGTAAAAACAGAAGGAAGGGCAAGGATGCAAAAAGTAGGGTCTGGGGTTGCCTCCCCTCTTGAAAGGATGGCCTGCCGATTCCATCCTATCTTTCCCTCCTTGGAATGTAGTCGAGGAATGGAAGGGAAAGACAGGGTGGCCGGTATAGTTCTACAGGAAGGGAGCACGCAGTTGGAACTGGCGGGGCAATTGAACATAATGTAGCAAGTTTCAACAGGAGGGTATCTCTCTGTAGGAAGGGAACACAGAGGCGAAAGTGGCGGGGAGCAAGGGAATGTAATGTGTTTATTTTTACGCGAAGGGGTGCATGGAGTTGAAGGGAAGGTGTAATGATGCGTGTTGTGCTTTGGGTTGTTCATCACTTCCAGGTGGGGTCATATGTCCCGTCTGGTGAGCCCAAGAACCGATGCACTTTGTAATCAGCTTTGACGTGTACCGGTCGGGTAGGTGGGGAGCCAGGGGTCTGACGAGTCCGAGAGTGGATGCACTTTGTAATAATCTTTGAAGTTTATGGTTTAGTTGGGTGGGCGGCCAGGGGAGATCTGTGATGAAGTGGAGTGAGCTCTGCGCCGGTGAACTTCTTTCAGGAAAAGGGTGGTAGAGCTCTGGCGCCTAGTGTTGCCTTCAGATTATGCTTTATGGTTATGGATTAAGGCATATGCTGTGAATACTGCCAGCAGCAAGACGAGGTGAGTCAGACAGTCTTCCTAGTTTCTTTGTTTTGCTCTGCTCCGTGTGCTAAAGTATTTGCTGGAAAGGTGAGTGAACAACCGTCCGCCAGCATCCACAGGACCCATTGTAAAGAAATAAACAGAGGAATTATTTGGGTGTAACGCCGTTAACTTCCTTACCGTTGCCGCATGCCACAGGTCTTTCCCTGTTTGACGAACATCGTGAGTGCATAGGAATCCTTCATGTGCAGCAGTGCGGTGTAAGTGCTTGAATTGTGCTCTCCGACTTGGTCGTTTCATTTCTATCTGCGAGGGTCGGATTCTAAGATGTGATCACGGACGTGTCCTGGTGATGCCACTTGACAGTCGAAGTGCTTTCTTGATCATGGACAAGTTGTGATGGGGACTTTGTGATCATTCCAGAGACCCATACGGAATCCTGTGTTGTTGAGGGTTGGGCAATTCTGTGCTTAAAGTTATGTAATCACAACTGAGTATGGTTCTCTGGCTGCTAAGTCATTTCTGTGCCATCATTTTGCTATCGCAGGCTGGCAGGTTTGTGGTTCCTCGCGGCCATCTGCTCACACTTTCTTCTGTCTGTCTTGGAATATGTAGAGGATAACAGGGTGGCTTACCTCTGATTTGTAATTGGCACTTTACTTCTTGTTATGTGTGCAGAATGCATTAGTTGTGAAATTTGATGGATCGTATACTGGAGGGGGCAGTGGATGCGTGGTGTGTGTGTAGAATGCAGTAGTTGTGGAATTTGATGATGGTACACTGGACAGATGCATTGGATGTGTGGTAAAGGCAGTGGGTGGTGCATCTGCTCTGGTGATTTCATTACGTACAGAACGCTGTGCAAGGAATATGAGCAATGAGAATGACAGAAACCAAATTGCAGTATTCCATAGAAATGCAGATAACTTTGCGCACAATCTGAAAGTGGATTGCACCATGAGGTGCACCAAATAAGCAAGAGCAAAGCACTGAAGTCGATCAACGATATAAAAGCCCACTTCTTGCGTCCAACATCAATGTCCACAGTGCTGCTCTCCTAAATGGCGGGGGCGCAAATGGTTAACGGGGACCCCCATTTTCAGGCCCTGGGTAACGAGTCCAAAACTGAAAATAGGGTTTTTTTGGATTTTTTTTTTTTTTGGCCTGTTCTTGTTTTGGTTCAAGGTTTGTGTGTGCCAAATTTTGTGTCATTTGGAGAATTGGAATTTCCTCTGTTAAGATTTCTGAAATTTCTCAAGATTTCTGAAATTGAGATGTTGGCGAAATTTCATGAAAATGCACTTTTGCCTTGCTGTTTTATATGTTTTTAATTATATTTTTTTGGATTTTTTTTTTTGCAGTTAGTTCGTATCGTCTGCACTCTACAAATTGGTGGCAAGTTTGAGTAAAATGACCCTTTGGTTTTCTAATAAATGGCATGGCAAGTGGTCTGGAAATTAGGGTCTCTGGCAACCAGAGCTGAGCTGCTGCCCCGATAGCCGGAGGAGGTATGGTGTAGGTTATTGGGCTGCTGAACTTTAGCCAGAATGAATGAGAATGAGTGCGCCTCTCTCCCTTTTGGTTTGTCTGTCTGGGCGGCGCCATGCTCTGGAGGCTTGACCTCTGTCCCAGTAGCTGTACCGAGGGCCCTTCCACAGTGTGCCAAGGGCTCAACTGTAAGTGCCCTGGGCCTCAGCATACTTGCGGGGCCCAGCATCTTGAACCGAGCGGGCCTACCAGTTGGTTGAAGATGCTGTGCTAGCAATCAACCCATTGGGACTGATTCTGCTCACATTGGCCTCGACCAAGGCCTTGTCGACTTTCCTGAGGGCCCGCCTTCAGCCAGTACACGCTATTTCCTCCCTAGCCCAAGGGCCTTGTGCTTTGCATTCCCTCCCGTCCGATTTGATAGTCTGAGAATATTTCAATACTTCATTTTCTGTTTTCCCTTCAGCATTCTCTCGTGTATGTGAATACAACTTGAGGTGCTGTCTTCATCATTTGCTCTCTGGTGAACCACCGGTCTTCTTCCGGATCCGTATGATCCCTGAAAGGGACACGAAACTGCATTTGTGGTATCGCCGGTCTTCCTCTGCCAGAAGTCTTAGGAACAGGCATAAGTCCATCCTCCATGATCTGATTGATGTCCGCGTATCCATCGATGGTTGGGTGCAGCATGGATCTCCTTGAAGGGAGGTTTGAATACAGGATGAATACGAAGTTGAGGCAGCCTGCGGATGGCGTCCGATGGGCTCACTTGGTGACATCCTATAGATCCTATCCCTAGGCATTTTGCTACCTGGGATGATTCCCATTGCATGGACTACCTCCCTATCAACGACTCGTGAGGGCTCCTCCTGAAGGTCTGAATGTAGAGCAATGACTTCTCTGAGGCGTCGTGACGGCCTGTACCTTCTGACAGGAAGACTGGGTACATACCCTCCTCGTGGTTCTATATTTCCCGAGGACTGTCCTTCCCTCAGGCAGTTGGTACTTTTATTAAGTCCCAGTGACATTGGTGCCTAGCAACCTCGAGCAAGTGAATGCCAAGGATCATAGCAAAAGGAAGCTCGTCACTTACGAAAATGAAATGTCATGTCTCACTTGCCCTCCCTGATTGGACAACATACGGAAAAGTCCTTGAGAGATTCCTTAACCACATTCCGCTGCTTAGTAGCTAAGGTAGATATTACAGGTTTACTTAGCTCCTGCACCAAGTGCTCGAAGCGCAGTCTCTTCACTCAAGCGGCGGTGATGTAGTTCCGAGTAGAGCATATGTCTGCAAGTGCCCATGCTTTGCGGCCACGTACAATGGCGTCTACCTTATAAAAATCGCCAACGTGAGAAATCGGCAATCTGGGCCGTCCGAGTCCTACCGGCCTGACGGTTTGGATTGTCACCCGATCTTAAACCACGTGTACCTTTGCCACGTGGGAAAATAGCAGGCCTCTGGTGGGCCTCGACCTTTTCGGAGGCCGAAACGAAACGATGGCCGCCAATCAGATTTATCAATGGCAGCCGTTGCCGGGCCCGGCCCCCGGATTTTTAGGAGTTTGGGAAAACTGCCACTTTTCCCTATTTTCCCAATACTGGCGGAGGTACAAGTGGTTTAAGACTTTAAGATCGCGTGATGATCCAGGCCGCCCATGGTCCTACTGGCCTGATGGTTCAGATCGCTGCGCGTTCTTAAAATTTTAATTTTAAGATCGTGCGGTATCATGTTACGAGTTGGCCAGCGGCCCAGATTAGAAGTTTGCAGCGCAACCAAAGTTAGGGCTGCCAGGTGTGGCGAGAAACTGGCTCCAGGCGGGTCGGTCTCCTTTAGGGCGCAGTGGTTCGGCCCCAGCCCCCCTCGCATATCTTTGGCAGCTCACGGAGCTGATGTATAGCGCACGAGAATACACGCTCTCACACAGCCGCCCGCCCGCCCGCTCAAACAAGCACATGCACAAACACACACACATCCACGTACGTATGGACACGAACAAACACATGCGCATGCACGCACACACGCGAATGCATCATGGGCGGACAGTCGGGGTTCGACCTCCTGGTGAGTTGGTGAAAGTCCAACGAAACAGTCTGGCACAGTTGTGCTTTTTTGGGGGGGTTCACACAAAATGTGGGTAGGTGGGTGGCTGCGCGCGCGTGCGAGAGAGAGAGAGAGAGAGATGGGCAAGAAGGGGGTAGGGTTACGTGTGTGTGTGTGTGTGTGTGAGAGAGAGAGAGAGAGAGAGAGAGAGAGAGAGGCAAGGGGCAAGGGGTAGGGGAAATTCGGGAAGGTGAAAGTATTCCATGTGACACAATCTGCTTTTTTGTTTCTCTTTCTGTTTAGGGGTGTGTGTGTGTGTGTGTGTGTGTTTGTGTGTGTGTGTGTGTGTGTGAGAGAGAGAGAGAGAGAGAGAGAGAGAGAGAGAGAGAGAGAGAGAGAG